AAGTTCCCAAACTTTATTCTATTCCTTAGAATTATTCTAACATTCATAGCATTTATCCATTTATGTGACTCAAGACTTGTCAATACTTGATTAAAAGTAACGGGGTCAACAATATGCCCAACATTAAAATCACTCCTAGTGGAACCTTTCCTAGTAGATTTAGTCAGCTTTGCTCTTGTATAATCCACACAAGTGTCAAAATCAGAAAAGTCGAGAGAGGAGGGTATCTCAACTTTAACCAAGCTCTCCATCCTATCCCTTGAAATGTGACCCAAACACTTATCGACAACACAGAGGGTGATTCACGAATTAGAGACATTTTTTTTGACACATTCGTAACATAAGAGACTTCACAAAAAGAAGTCAAAAACAATTTATATAAACCATCACATAAGAAGCCATTTCCAATTAAACGAGAATCANACCTCATCAAACTTCAAATACCACTATCGAGATGCATGCTTGAGACCATATAAGGATTTATTCAATTTACATACCAAGTTTTCTTTTCCCTTTACAACAAAACCTTCAAGTTGTCTCATGTAAACCCTTTCCGAAACATCTCCATTTAGAAAAGCTGTCTTAACATCCATCTGATAAAGCTCCAAATCATAATGTGCCACAAGTGCCATGATAATTCGAAAAGAATCTTTGGATGAAACGGGTGAAAAAGTTTCATTATAGTCAATGCCCTCTCGTTGAGTGAACCCTTTTGCAACCAGTCTCACCTTCTTTCGTTCAACATTCCCTTATTAAGTCCAATTTGCTTTTGAGTATACACTTTTTATCTATGGCTTTAGGACCGAAGGAAGATCAACAAGATCTCAAACTTAATTATGTTCCNCCCTTTTGCAACTAATCTCGTCTTCTTTCGTTCAACACTCCGTTTTGAGTCCAATTTGTTTTTGAAGATCCACTTGTTATCTATGACTTTAACATCCGGAGGAAGTTCAACAAGTTCCTAAACTTTATTCTGTTCCATAGAATTCATTTCATCCTCCATAGCACTTATCCATTTATGTGACTCAAGACTTGTCAATACTTGATCAAAAGTAACAGGGTCAACAATATGCCCAACATTAAAATCAATTTCCAATAAATATGTAATATAATCACTGGGTAATGCAGACTTTCGTTCTCGGTTGAGATCTCCTAACTTGTGGCTCAGTAACTGACTCAACCGTTGTTGGTGGATGAACCTGAAGTTCCTCTTGGTGCCCAGGTTCTTCATTAACAATTTAAGCCGGTTGAGGTATAACTCTCTCCTGTATAACAGGAACCAGAACAATAACTGAATTCGGTTCAACAAAAAATTCCTTCAACATAGAACTCCCACTATCACCAAAGTCATGTTCCAGAAATTTAACAGTGATTGACTCAATAATTCTGGTGCCATGGTTTGGACAATAGAACTTATATCCTTTTGATCTGTCAGGGTACCCAATAAAGTAGCCATGAGTGGATTTTGGGTCTAATTTCTTTTCAAATGGATTATAAATTCTCACCTCAACTGGACATCCCCAAACTCTGAAATGAGCCAAACTTGGCTTACGTCCCGTCCACAACTCAAAAGTTGTCTTTGCAACAGCTTTACTCGGAACTTTGTTCAAAATATACATAGCAGTTTTCAAGGCTTCACCCCATAGATATTCTGGCAAATTTGTCCTAATCATCATGTTCCTGACCATGTCTTTTAGAGTCCAATTGCATCTTTCCGAAACGTCATTCTGTTCAGGTGTTCCGGCATGGTGTATTGAGGCACTATGCCACACCCTTGTAAAGACTTTGCAAAATCACTAATGTTTTGACCAGACTCATCGTACTTTCCATAGTATTCACCATCCCGATCAGATCTTACAGCATTGATGCTTTTCCTACATTGTTTCTCTACTTCCATTTTGAAA